TGTGGGACTCCAACCCAACGCGAGCCATTGCACATGCGCGAAAATTATAGAGTCTGGAATATTTGCTCCGGACTCTACGCGAATTAGAGTCTGTGCACGGACCAATCAGATTACTTAGCTCTTAAAAAATTAGGGTTTAGGCTCTTAGGCTGATGTACAACCTGTCTGTCTCTGTATGTTTCTCCAGCAAGGAAGAAGGTGAGGAGACTGGCCCAGTCGTGGATGTCTCTGACACCTCCTGGACCAGGTTGGTATGACTACACCAAGAAACAACGTGCAACCTGTACGCATGGTGTATATTTAACATTTTACATTTTGTTGATTGAGTATATAGGAGGTTAAAATACCTTTTTTGACAATTTCTTGCCTCTAGACTCTCAAACTTGTGAAATTTTGCAGAGTTCCGCTTCAAAGGTTTTGCTCTATGCATGATACATTGCTGGCGAGTTTTTCTATTGTTGGTGTTGACTGTAGTGGTTGTGTGTGTGTGGCTGTAAATGCAGGCACCAGTTGTGTGTGGTGGGTGAGGCTGGCTGTGCAGGGGGTGGAGACGCTGGTCTCTGCGTCATGGCTGCCAGGAGAATCCTGAGCCAGCCGGACAGTGTCTCTCCCCAGGAAGAGAGAGAGGAGGAGAGGGAAGCGGAGCTCGAGGATGAGAGGAGAGGGAGAAGGATTGGGTGGAGGAGTCTGCTCCACTGCTCTGCCGGCTGTGGGTTAGCCAGGACTTACCTCTACAGCATTAGCTTCCCTCTTTCTATCCATAGTAATGGGGGAGTTATTGCTGTGCAGATATATACATACGTACATAGTCAATCTGTCAGCAAAAAAATGGGGGGATGAAATAGATGGGGTGCTCATGAGCTGCCTTTGATGTCAGTATAACCTGTCGGTTTAAAAAAAAAAAAAGAAAAAAAAAAATGAAGAAATGAAGGAAAAACAAGATAAAAAAAAAGGAAAGCAAAAAAAAAAAAAAAAAAAGAGAAAAAAAAAAAAAAATAAAAAGGAGGCAAAGGAAAAGAAAAAAAAAAGAATGACATCAAACAAAGCCAAGAATAAATAATAAACCATAACAAACATACGCACCTGTACATCCTAGACGCCAACAGATCTCGCCACCACTCCGAAAACAATCACATCTACATTTAAATCGCAACCCCTTCTCTGCGCCTCCCCCCCCTCCCCCCCCCCCCCCCCTCTTTCCCCACCCTGCTCCCTCCCAACCACCCATTTCGCCCCCCCCCTTCCTTTCCCCCCCTTCCCCTTTTACTCCTCGCCCTTCCCCCCCGTCCCCTCATCCCTCCCCCTTTTTGCCCGCCCCCTCCTTCCGTTGTCCCCTATCATCCCTCCCCTTCGTGCCCCCTGTGTACCGCCTTCGCCACGTTTCGCCCCCCCTGCGCCTCATCCCAAACCTCAATTGTTGTTTACGTATGTTTGACTTGAAAAGCCATTTTTTTCACACACACAGTCACATATTATATCTAAACACTCATCCTAGTGTATAGGTAGTGTAAGTATATTGTGGGCAGTTTGTTTTGCACTCAATCTTTCGGTCCATTTTCACTTTCCGTTGTGTCAGTGATGGTCTCTGTGTGTGTGTGTGTGCCACTCAGGTTGTGTTGCAATCACTGGGTTTTGGGGAAGAACCTCTAGATATTCCCCCGCAAAAATGGAACTCATTCTCAGAGAAGTCAACAAGGTGCACTACACTTTCACATAATATGTGTCTAGCTTTAAGTACCGTGTTTCTTCACTTACGGCGTTTCAAACTTGAATGATGATTTTTTTACGTGTCAGGTTTATGTTTGACTTAGAGGAAAAACTGTTGTACAAAAAGTGCAACTGTGGGAAATGACAATGAATGGTCGTTTTGACTTGCGAATTATTCACTTGAAAAAACAGTAGCAGAGTGTAGCCCGACAGCTTTATGCTAGGGGTGTTTATATTGGGTCGCATGTACTTAACCCTATAGAGGAGGAGTTAAGTTGTCTTTGGTGCTGGGCTGCCTCTGTGCTGGTGTGAAGGTCCTTTACGCAGGGAGGGAGGAGGGGAGGAGAGGGGGGAGAGGGAAGGAGGGAAAGAGAGGGAAGAGAAAGGACCAGTTAGTGAGACTGAACTCCATTCACTCCACTCTCTGGGGTCATTCGGAGTTCCGTGACATTCTGTATGCTACGTCCAATTCTCCCCAGACATTGGCAGCAAAAGGTCGGTAGACTTGCACGGCTATTTTGTTTCATAATGTATATACATACATCCCTTGAAAAAATGGACACTGAGTTCTGTGTCTAAGTACTTCTCAGTTTGCCGTCTTGTGCGAGTTGCATTGGTTGGAGAACAGGATAACAAAATCTGCACCTTATGTAGCCCTGTACATCCATTCAAGTGATAAATGATAATGTGTTATGTAAGCGCAGCCACAGATGTTAATGTTTTGATTAGAGGGTTTCCCTCCTACGCCACCAATACAGAGAGTGCAGTTGAGCTGCTGGTGTATGTCACTCAGCGGTGTTCAGATGTGGTCAGTACCAGTCGTGTGCCCACGCTACTGGGAGCTTACTCCGCCTCCTGCTCTAGGACCGGTAAGTCTCCCAGATATACTGTTGAGATCCGTGTAGTTTGTCAGGAGAAAACGCATTTCATGCGGGGATGTTAGTGAAACCAACTATCTATCAAGTCCTTACATCCCTGTCTCTTCCCCTCTTCTTAAGAAGCGTTGACGAATTTTCATTTTTTGAAAGAACGCAAGTGAAAGAAAGTACAAACCAACCATCAATCAATAATAGTTGGACTATAGCTGAAGTATGGAATAGTGACGTCCACGTTGAGTTAACCATTTACATACTGCACTATGCCCCTCCCCCTTTCACCCCTTAATGAAGGTGTTAACAGTTTTGCATTTTTAAAAAGAACGTTAGTGGAAGAAAATACAAGCCAACCATCCATGATAGTTGGACTATAGCTGGAGTATGGAATTCACTTTGAGTTAACCCTAACATATTACACGCTGCACTCCTGTTCCCCGCCATAAAAAAATGTGTTTTCGTCATCTTCAGATCGTGGACTGCTGTACCTGCTGTTCCTGTATGAACTCAATGGAGCAAACCTCAGCAGATTCAGGTGAGCTTGGAATCACTCAGCAGTCATCTTTTCTTCTGCCTCTTACTCACATACAACTACCGTGTTGTGCCTATTTTTGTGGGGTGCATAATTTTGGTGCAGATTTTACATACGAACAGGTGACAAGTATTTTTTTGGGTTTTAGCCCGCAACTTTTTTCTCACTATTGAGCAATTTGCCAGTTTCTTGTCATACTATAAAATAATATTCCCGTTTAGCTATGATTGTTTCATCATGTAAATATGTTTCATGCTCAAAATTCGTGTGTGTGTGTTGTGTGTACTAACTCCTGCTGGTGGTGTTGCTCAGACCGTACCTGTGGGGTGAGGCGGGGAGGGAGGTGGAGGTAGAGAGAAGGAGTGTCAGCTGGCTCCAGTGGGGAGGTCCTCCCAGCTCCAGACAGGTCCTGGAGAGTCTGGACCCCCGCAGAATGGACACCTCTCTCGACCACTTCCCCCAGCACTCTCCTCTGGAGGTTCGTGTGTATATATATACTACAGTGCCAGGAGTTTCTCTCAGGGGAGAGGCTGTGGTTCCACACAGCTGGAAATGTTTGAGGAAGATTACTTTCACAGTTGTCACATTTTTAGAGCCACTTGCAACGTATCAGTATCGCGAAAGTTTTATCACTATGTATTATTTGTGGGCATGGGAGAGTATCATTGATGATGCTTACCTCTCGGCACATCCTACATACGCATAGGAAAATGCCCTTTGCATGTTACTTTTCTCTCCCACTTTGTGTTGGTTTGATTGTGTAGCCGGTGGATCCGTTCAGTGAGCGTGGAGATGAGGGTAGGTGTGAGGAGAGGGGTGAGCAGCTAGTGGTGTATGATCCTGCCTTCATGCTGCCTCTAGCAAGCCATCTACTGGACCCTGGTGTGTTTCGTGTTGTATATCTGGGGTTATCTGTTGTCTACTAACTGGTGAATGTGTAGTTCAACATGCCACTTAGGGAGTGTTTTTGAACACATGATTTTCAGTTTACCATTTGTTCATACCTTTCATGCTAGTGTTTTGTGTGCGTTGACAATGCAGCATTTCACGAGGGAGTTGTTTCTGGTCTTTGTTTCACTATAGTTCACTCTTATGCCACTAACTGTGTGGCAGTTTTAATTTTATGTATGCACAGTTGGACAAAGGGGCCGACAATAACAGATTATACGGATGTTTCAACCTCTTCTTCCCACCACTAGGGTGTCTGGTGGAGGTCAGAGAGGTGGTAAGGACGGGAGTTCTCTCCTACCTCCTAGTCTCTCTCTCCTCTCACGAGACCGACGTCAGGAGAGCCGCCGCCCACTGTATCTCTCGCTTCGCGTCTCACCTCCACTCCTCCTCTTCCAGGGAAAAACCTCAGGTCAGCTGGGATTTTTACACTCTGTGTGATCTTGAGTTCAGCTAAAAGCTGCTGGTGCCTCTTCCAAGTTCTAGTTGTGTCTTGATTGCTGTGTAAGAACGGTACGTGCATGTGCTTAGGCCACACCCACTGATAAAAAAATTTCGAGGTTTTTTGGGCAGGATAAAAACTCTACACCTAAGCAGTTGGTTTGGTGTGTGTAAGAATAAATGTTGACTAGAGTATTTCAAAACGATCACATACAACTAGGCGATGGAATACAGATGACAAGGTGCCTAATGGTAAAATTTGCCTGACTCCAATACACCTAAAGGGCATTTGTGCAGTTAACAGTAGGTGTGGATTTTTTGCACTGCATTCTGCAGCTGTAGACAATGTATTCAAGATGATTAGCTGGTGTATCTTTCCTTCCATTCACTTGCTAAAAGTACGACAATTTCACCCCCATTTTTACAGTAGCTGCTCTGTATGTATGTATACTCTGTGTCTGTCTGCCTAGTTGTCTCTGCTGCTGAGAGTAGTCAAGAACACTCTGGACGAGGAGCCTCAGAGGTTGCCTTCTCTCCATGCTCTCTTCCTTGCCAGAGTGGCCCAGGTCTTTCTGCAACCAGGTGCTTCCACGAGCGGCGTTTATGTCGGTGTATGCGCATGCGTATTGGATTGTCATTGAATCGCCTCATTTTAATTTTATTTTCTGTATGGTAATTTAGAATAGATAGAGACTAAGATGTTTTAGAAAATGACGTCTATTAGCTCTCCGAAAAATGCAGTCTGCTATCCACGCTAATCGCGTGAGAGCTCATCCAGTTCAACGTCAAGTATTTAACCATTATGTCTTGTTGCTTTCTGCGCCACAAGTGTAGAGATCAGTGTAGGTTTAGAAGTGTAAACGCCTGGCTTTCTTAACGATGCTGCTTCCAACAGTTTCCAAGCTTGCGTTTTCTCTTCCTGAGTGTCATGAGTTCTTCTGTGTTTGTGACCTTTGATCTTTGCAGAGTGTCAGCTGTACATGAAGGCGGGTCACTATTTGGTCCACAAGCCAACTCTGGAGCTCCGCGACATTCCTCTCTTCAACACCCTTTTCCTCCACACAACCTCACCACAGGTTTGTTCATACTTAGTCACCGAGGTCTTTATAGTGAGAAGCAAAAACTACTGTATAGGGATATATACAATTTGGGAGGCAAACTAGAATTTAACGAAGAAAACTTTGCGGATTGCTTGTTAAGCTGTACAATTAATCACACCCCAATTTATTGCCCTGTTTTTCTGTAAGTATCCAACGGTCCAACGTCTCTGCTGCATGAAATGTGCATGCGCAAACATCACATACATTGGCTCAAAGGTTGCTTTGCTCAGCAAAGAAGTGTCGTCCTATGTATGTAGTTATAGAGCAAACTATGATAATTTCCCTTCCCCTCCCACTGTTTGTTGGTGTCCTATAGGATGTAGGTGAATGTGAGTGGCTGCTGAGAGTCCTGGGAGGAGGTCTGAGGTGTGAGGAGGACTACAGACTCTACCAGAGGAAGAGGGTGCTCCCTCATCTCTTGGCCCTCTATACCGAGCTTTCTCTGGACAGCAAGACTAGGGTAACCTGTATGTATAGGAATTTTTACTGGGTCTTCTCTGAACTGAAGACCAAGGTAACCTGTATGTATAGGTATTTTTACTGGGCCTTCTCTTAACTGAAGACTAGGGTAACCTGTATGTATAGGTATTTTTACTGGGCCTTCTCTGAACTGAAGACTAAGGTAACCTGTATGTTTAGGTATTTTTACTGGGCCTTCTCTGAACTAAAGACTAGGGTAACCTGTATGTATAGGTATTTTTACTGGGTCTTCTCTGAACTGAAGACTAGGGTAACCTGTATGTATAGGTATTTTTACTGGGTCTTCTCTGAACTGAAGACTAGGTAACCTGTATGTTAGGTATTTTTACTGGGTCTTCTCTGAACTGAAGACTAGGGTAACCTGTATGTTTAGGTATTTTTACTGGGTCTTCTCTGAACTGAAGACTAGGTAACCTGTATGTTTAGGTATTTTTACTGGGTCTTCTCTGAACTGAAGACTAAGGTAACCTGTATGTTAGGTATTTTTACTGGGTCTTCTCTGAACTGAAGACTAGGGTAACCTGTATGTTTAGGTATTTTTACTGGGTCTTCTCTAAAGTACACACCTTGGCAGTGAGATCGAAAAGACTTTCTCCCCTCGTGATTTTTTTACCTCCCCTTTGTTTGAATCTTGTGAAGACGATTGTCAAGGAGTTAACGTCTTAGACCTTTGTCAACTTGTTTGTGTGTTTGTATGTGTATCATAGACCCTGATTCTGGAGCTGGTGTTGAGGGCGTGTGTGTTCCCAGTGGCAGTCTGTGATCTAGTGTGGAACCACGGACTGCTCCCCTGGCTCACTCAGGCCACCTCGTGAGACTGCGTATTATCATAGCTTGAACTTTATAGGGAGAAGTTTCACAGACGGCTCACGTACAGCTAAGTTCAGGCTTTTTTAATGGCAGTGCTTTTTCCAGCTATTCACTATAATGTTAGATTTGTGGTACAAAGCTGGCATTCTATGTGTAAAATCATGGTGGTGTTTTTTTTTCCAGCTGCAGTGATCAGAGTGTGGTCCAGAGGATTCTGTCCAAGGCCTGTAAACTGGTGGAGGAGGAAGACAGTGACTCAGACAGAGGCTGGAAGCCTCCTCCATTACTGGAAGAAGAACTATCATTGACTACTGCCCGATTTATGTAACTAGCTGTGCTGTCATTCGTCGTCATCGCGCGCGCATTGCGCGTAATAATAGTAGGCATAAATAATTGCGCGCGCATGCGTACAAGTGCGGCCACCGACCGCGCGAGCGCTTCATCTTCTAGCTCTCTCTCCGTAGCTGGCGCTGGGGTGTTCGGCCTTAGAGCTAAAGTGGTGTGTGTGGCACTGAAGTGTAGGTAGCTAAAACAATATCTAATGTGAATGAACAACAGCTGTGACTTTCATTCTGCATTTTCTCTACCGCAGATATATGCGAGACGACAATGCAACATTTGGCAGCGCCCGTAATGCTGGTGACACTGCTTAGCTTCTCGAGCCAGCAAGAGCCATTGGCTGTGTGCTACGTGAAACCAGCGGACAACACGACGTGCCCCTCGTATCTCTGCTACACTCTGCAGCAGTATGCCGAGAAGCAACAATCCGTTGCCAGTCAGTGCAGACTCGGACGCTCCAACACTGTTTACCGGTTCTTGGACGGCGGTAAACACGAGCTGTTTAATAACATTACGTTGAATTTTTCCAGCTCGGAATCAATATTTCTTCTTGGAAACTGGGTTGAAGGTACACACAGAGTTTCCCATGCCGAGATAAACTGCAAAAGCTCGGGAGGATTTCTGTTTCAATATGCCAGCAACATAGTCATCAACAACCTGACTTTTACTGAATGCGGCCACTGGTTTAACCATATCACTGTCCAGGCCACCCTGGCCTTTCACAATGTACTAAATGTATCTCTTTCAGACACAATTGTTAGAAGTGGCACTGGGTATGGACTCTATGCTCTATGTGCGATGGGCTCAGTGGAAGTGGAGTATTCAGAGTTTTCTTTCAACAAAGGAACAGATGAGATTGAAGGAGGCAATGCAGGGTTCCTCTATGCAAATTGCACAGATACACCAACTCTTTTATCGATCAGGTATTCACATTTTCTGAACGGGTCTAGTAACTGTACTAACTCCTTGGCTACTGGATTATTCGTGTATGTCTGGACAAATGGAGTTAACGTAGAAATAGACAACATTACTGCAGTTGGTAATAGCGGAGGGAAGCATGCTATTGGGGGAAATGTGTTACTGATCCTGAGAAACAGGACAAGAATAATAAACAACTGGATAGTGGTGAAGAACAGCTATATAGCGGAGGGTAGGGCCTATACAGGTGGAGGTATGGATATTTCCATCCTCACCACTCCACAGTACGACTCGCCGCCAAGAGTCTCAGATTATGGAGCTACAAACTGGACAAAGGCCGAAGTTTTAGCCCCAGAAGTAGTGACGGTTATAAATACACAGTTTGTTGGGAATATTGCTGGACACCAAGGTGGCGGACTCTATCTTATAACTCATGAAGATCCAGGCATCTTCTCCCCCATTGCCCGTGTCACTATCCAGGATTGTCTGTTCACTAGGAACACTCTAAAGAGTGATTCTGGTGGCGGAGTGGCTCTTCATCTCAATAACCATCCTGTTTTTGCTTATCTCAACCACAGTAACCCACAGTTCTATACGTCTTTGGTAAACTGTACAATTGAAGAAAACTTCCTTGACTCGGAGACAGGCATAGGAGACGTGGTTTTCACTGCTAGTAGTGCGGTGTTTGTGGTCCTGAAACCGTCTGGGGTGCTAATAGAGGACAGTAGAATCTCTAACAATAACTGTACAGGAGTCAGTACAGTGAAGAGTGCTGTTATGTTTGCTGGAAAGGTCACCATTTCTGGAAACAGTGCCATCAATGGCGGCGGTATCATTCTTTGTGATGGAGGGTTACTGCTCTTCAGGGCCTTTACCACTCTCATCATTGAAGACAATAGTGCCAAGCATGCTGGTGGTGGGATATATGCCGAGGACTCTTGCCTGCAGTCTGAGCCTATTTGTTTCTTCCAGCTTGACATTGCCATATACAGAGATGCCAGTTTGAATGCTACGATCCACGTGGAGATGATAAACAACACTGCTGTATATGCAGGCAGTGCTATATTCGGAGGCTCTGTTGTGTACTGCCTTCTCTTACCACAGCTTGAGCCCGACCTGAACATAACAGGAGGGCAAATGTTCGAGCAACTTTTTGAGATTGTGCATCCGCCATTGGATCTATCTCCCGTCTCCTCCAACCCTTTCCGGGTGTGCTTCTGCAGTCAAAATCACTCGTGGCCAGACTGTAGCAATCGCAGTATCAGGAGGGAGGTGTACCCCGGGGAAAAACTAAGTGTCTTTGTGTTCACTGTGGGTCAGGCCAATGGGGTTGCAGCCCACACTGTTTCTGCCCTCCTCAAAAACAACAACTCCAAGCTCGCCGATCAGAATAAACTGCAAGACACCTACAAGTCCAACTGTACAAGGTTGAACTACACAGTCTTTAGTCGACAACCATCAGAAGTGATTTCGTTGCAGGTCAACCAGCTGTCAGGAATCAGCAGTGAGGCCAGCAGAAGAGGCATTGCCAAGGTTAACGTTACCCTCAAACCATGTCCAATAGGTTTCACTGTCACGGCTAATCCTCCGTACGATGTGATTGCATCCCTGCATTGAGCCATCACGACTATGCCTGCAACATTGAGACTCCGTCTGTTCACAGACCTAGAGGGAGACCCACCTGGATCGGCTGCTACGCTCTCTCTCGGAACTTCTCCTTCTCTGTTACCAATCAAACCACCGGCATCAGTAGCAGTGATGGCTACGGCATCCGTTACCAGCCTCATTGTCCCTACGATTTCTGCAAGGACAAGTCTGTCAACATCAGCACTGGACCGAGACTCCCTGATTTCCAGAGCAATGCTCAGTGTGCCTACCACCGTGCAGGGGTACTGTGCGGTGCCTGTGAGCCAGGCTACAGCCTAATCCTTGGGAATTCAGAGTGCAGGAGATGCACAAGCGAAAACCTCTCACTCTTCATAGTGTTTGCCGTAGCTGGGCTGCTACTGGTGCTTCTGATAATCCTCACAGATCTCGGTGTCTCATCTGGGTCATTGAGCGGGCTCATATTCTATGCCAACTTAGTCCAAGTCAACAGCTCTGACTTTTTTGGCAAGTATGTCTCTGAGGACCGCAGGGTGTACTTGTGCAGCATCTTCATTTCCTGGCTCAACCTGGACTTTGGGATCAAAAGATGCTTTTACGATGGGATGGACGCCTATGTTAAGACGTGGCTGCAGTTTGCTTTCCCGCTGTACGTGTGGGGCATTGCTGGGCTCATAATCCTGCTGAGTCGCAGGTTTCCCAGCAGGTACATAGCTGGCCGGAGCCCGGCAAAGTTGCTCGCCGCTCTGTTCCTCGTATCCTATGCCAAGCTCCTCAGAACCATCATACATGCTCTCTCCTATGTCACGCTCTTTCAGCACGCCACCGACAACCGGGAACTGGAGTCAAAGCTCCTCTGGAGGGAAGACGGGAACCTTGGGTACTTGCAGGGAAAACACATCCCTCTCTTTGTGGTGGCGGTTGGGTTCGGACTAGTCACCCTCCCCTATGCGCTGGTTCTTTTCTCACTACAGTGGCTGCAGAAGTGTTCTCACCTGAGGCTCTGCTCCTGGGTCGGGAGGCTGAAACCAGTCTTCGATGCCTACACTGCCCCCTACAAGTCCCACTGCAGGTTCTGGACGGGGTGGCTCCTGCTCGTTCGCGTCGTTGTCTTCCTCACGTTTGCCTCCCCACACACCCACTCTACTCTGAGGCTCTCTCTCATCCTAACCACTTGTGTTGTGGTCCAAACGATTGCCTGGTCCTTCCACGGCGTGTTCAGGAGCAAGTACAACGACACCATAAACTCTGTGTTTTTCCTAAATCTCGGCCTTTTCGCAGCAGCTACCAGTTATACTTACACCAACAACGGTAGCCATCAACCTGCAGCGATACTCACTTCAGTCAGCATCTCCTTTGCTCTGTTTGTCTTTGTTCTGCTCTACCACACTCTCTCTCAAGCCAGAGTAACAAAGGCGTGGAGAAGACTAGAGGCTTGGATGAAGAACAAGAGAGAGATGCAGTATTTACGTGGCGCATGGAAGAGAATGAGGCCTGAAAGAGACCCCTGTACTGGCACAACCTGTGTGAGCGTGCAGAAGAAAGAACGTGTAACGCAAACTGTTGTGGATCTTTTTAATGTCCAATATCGTGAGCCTCTCATCAATTCACCCACTGCTAGCTACGGAACTTCGGGTGACACAATAAATTGAATGATGCACACATTTTTTTCATGTGTATGTAGTGTTGTTGTATAGATAAAGAATGTGGATGTGACGTCACTACATTCCAAACCGTAACACTAGGCGTCTAATAGAATCCATCCACCAGAGCAGAGAGGAGAACGTGTTTATGTTTGTGTGTTGTAGATAAGAGTTTTTCGCTGGCGAGGCATCTGACGACTGCATAGAGAGTCATGTCTGGAATTTCCGTGTGTAGACTGAACGAGGAGAGGAAGGCCTGGCGAAAAGACCACCCTTTCGTGAGTCATGGCTGCTCTATTTAGACCCCACTCGTCCGTAGCCGTCTGCTGCCAGTGTGTAGTCAATGTGCGCCGCCCTCCCCTTCATGTAGGCCCAGTTGGGAAATCTATGCGCCTAAAATGTGCAGTATATACTACGCCTTTTTACTGTCATAAAGGGGTGCACCTATTGTATACATTCTGACCCTCTCTTTACTGTCAGGGGTTTGTGGCCAAGCCGGTCAAGAATCCAGACGGCACGCTGAACCTCATGAACTGGGAGTGTGGTACGTGGCACTATATACGTCAATGTGTGTGTCGGTACAGCACCGTTACAATGGTTCTCCCGCCCCCATATTGATTGAATTGTGTATTAATTCGATATGCTTGTAGCTGTTGTGTACGGGAGTTATCAGACATGGCCGACCTAGGCCATGTAATTATGACTCCACAACACCACGAATATTTTAGCACTGCAAACTGGACAATATACATCTAGACATGCCTGACCCTCCCAGTAGTACGTAGCTAGTGGGCGTCCCATTGTGTGTTTGGCCGAGTAGCTGAGGAAAAGCAGGGGTTATTATACTAATGACTTCCTAGGGGCTATTATGAGCGAGGAAATCTCCAGGGTATATACTTACTCCCAGCAAATGTAGTATATAGAAGGAGAGAGGGAAATAGGTGGGAGTATGCAGGCATTCCTGTGGTTGGTGGGCCAGACTTACTGGCTAGTCCATTTTCCTTTCATGTGGTGTTTCCATGTACCCAGTTAGTGGGGGTAGGCTCCTGGTTCCATTGCTGGCGGACAATCAGCCTCACTAGCAACAAATTTAGATGGTCCAACAGGACACCTGTACCATGTATTTGGGGGTCAAAGTGTCCCCTGGGAAGCATATTCAGGGGGACAAATGGTGCCAGCCCTGTAATTGGGTAGCGTCGAGGAGCGAGCCAAGCTCTCTCTTTCTCTCCAGTTATTTTAACATCTGTCACTCCTCGTATTTGGGTGAATCACAATGTATGTATGTAGGTTGTATTGCTTGTATGCTCTAGTTAATATCTCAGCTGTGAAATGTTAGCAGTATGCTGTGCTGTATGTTGTGTCGTTTATGAAACTGAATGTGTTTCTTTTTCTGCAACAGCCATTCCTGGGAAGAAATCGGTGAGTAACTGACAGTGTGTGTGTGTGTGTGTGTGTGTGCGCATGCATTTGTGTGTGTGAGAGTGGTTGTTTTGTTGATACAGACTCCCTGGGAAGGCGGTCTCTATCAGATCAGAATGATATTCAAAGACGACTACCCCACTTCCCCTCCAAAATGTAAGCTACTCTATTGTAACCTCATTCACCACCACTCCATTCCGTGCTTATATGTTGACATTGGGGTTTTGTGTTTATATGTCAGCCACTGTTCCACCATAACCTGGTCCATTGGTGTTGTGTGTTTGTAGGTAAATTTGAGCCTCCTCTGTTCCATCCCAATGTGTATCCCTCCGGCACCGTTTGTCTGTCTCTGCTGGACGAGAACAAAGACTGGAGACCTGCAGTCACCATCAAACAGGCAGGCAACCACACCTCACACCTCACACAACTGCAGTTGGAACTGTAACAATGTTATATATAGTCTTGCTGGGAACTTTTTCTAAAGTGACGGATGAGGTCTGAAGACTGTCCCAATAATGTGTGGAGCCCCTTCTCAAAGGACACCCCTGATATGAGGTCACCTCTTTCGCGACACCTTTTCAATAACTCTTGCATGTGCAACTTAACCCCTGAATACCAACCCCCCTCTGACACTCTCTGGGGGGTTACACTGTAATTGTGATTAGTCATTGGGGCTGACGTTTAACGTTACAGAATTCAAATTTGTGGCACATGTGTGCTGGTTGTATATTTGTGTAGCTACAAAGACGCAGGTTGTTAACAGGTGTGACATGTGGTACTGCCTAATTATACTAATTCGTTTGCCTGCAGATCCTACTAGGTGTCCAAGACTTGTTGAATGATCCCAACATCAAGGACCCAGCACAAGCAGAGGCATACACAATATACTGGTGGGTAATGCCCCTAGTCGTTACTCACAGTACACACAGGCGCTGTATATAGTTCTACGCTGTATATGTTCTACACTGCATGCTGAGTAATTGGAACAAGTACTGTAATGTACTTCAATGTTTGCAAAGTACTAACTGTTGCAGTACATGCTAAAACACACAACTCTCTCAGTACAAGGTACGTATATAGAAACACACCACACTCTCTCCCACCCTCCTTCCCTCACCCTCTTTCTCCACCATTCCCCACTACAGCCAGGACAGATCCACATATGAGAAAAGGGTACGAGAACAGGCACACCGTATGGCTCCCAAATAATGCCCACCCTGCTGTGTATCATTTCCGCTCTCCTGCCCTACACCAGAGTGCACATACTGCAGTGTTGTAAAAATGCACAAAAAACGGTCACCCGCGGTGGTAATCATTCGCTTGCTGATTTTCGTGCATTGCTGCCCCTACTGTTTGTATGTGAGCATGCATTATATCACACCGACATACACCTTCTTTCTTTCGTTGTACTATAGTTGTACAATATTTATGGAAAGAACATGCACCTGCTACGTAGGTCTACAATATATAGGGCCACAAATATTGTTTGTGAAAATAAAAAGCTATGGCCGCCGGTATATATACATCCTAGAGATAAACAAATTTCGTACAATATCATCTTTTAGTTTTGGCTGTATTGGTAGGTTGATGGATTAATAGTGGGAAAAAGAATAAGGTTTCCTTGAAAGACAGGGGGAAATATGATAAATGTCTATAAGATCCAAAATGAAAGGCTGAAAATGCCAGTGGTATATATATAGTTAGCATGGAAGGTCTGGCGTAGTTGAAGGAACTTCAAGTAAGGTCAGTGGGGCAGTAGTTCTGTGGGTGAAACCGCTCCCAGAGAACCTCAAACTGGTCCAGGAACGGCCCCACGATATCAGAGTTGGTAGAGATCACAATGTTCTCCTGGTTACCATGAACTGCCTGCTGAGTCCAGTTGAGGGAGCCGTTCACCAGGCAACGTCCGTCGACCACGGCAAACTTGTGGTGCATTAAGTACGAGTCGTTGTTACGGCGGACCTGGATCCCGTTTCGCCGCAGTTTCTCCACTGGGGACGGGTTGATAGACATCTGGTCCCTATCCGTTATTACCCGCACGGCGACGCCCCTCCGGTGGGCGCCAATTAGTATATCCATCAGTTTCCAGTTAGAGATGGCGTACACGCACACATCGAGGCTGTTCACTGCACACTCGAGCGTGTTGGATAGTTCCTCTATGTTCACGGTTTCGACGTCAGGGAAAAAGAGGACTTTTGATGCAGCTCCGCGGGATGAAAGCAGGCGCTTTGTTCTCCGTCTCTCTCTCCAGTAGAGGTAAAGCAATAGAACGGTGGAGGCCGTCAGCGTAGCCAAAGGTACAGAGACGAAACGAAACGAGCCAACCATAGCTGTGGCTTGGCTGTCTTAGGTGCGAACACCACGTGGATTCGAGCATGCGCACGAGACCCCATGTGCGCACGTTCTAGTAGTGGGCGTGGTAAAAGTCAACAGGCGAATGCTTAGCGCTAGCTATGGCTGAAGGTGGGGGAGAGGAAGAAGCCGCCGTACGCTCAACGTCGGCGTTTCTACTGGCGTCTAGCGGCAGTGGGCGACGTGTCAAGTCGCCACCACCTTCCGCGACCCGCGTCCGCCTCCTCCTCACTCGCGAGAGGCTCGAGTGCAGCGATGAGAAGCAGCAACAAGACCACAAGGCCACCGTGACGTCTGGCTTTCTCCTGGAGGATCTGGTCGGCGTGGACGTTCGGGGTAGACCTCCCCCCCACGACAAAAACGCCTGCGAGATGAACGTCCATTTTTACCCTAAGCAGACCGAGAAGAAAAAGACGATGAGGAAGATGAAAGTTCTGAGCGTATGTTTCGACAAAGCCGAAACTCTCAGCGAGAATAGGGCAGAGGCTTCCAAGTGGAAGGACGACATAAAACTCTACAGCCACTACAGACGGAGCCAAGTACTAAAAATTGAAGGTAAAACGATAACTATATACGCCTATTTCGAATGTCTAGTAAAACTCGGCTGTGTACAACGGTAGACGGTGAGGTGCAAGCTGATGGGGTGCCGCAGAGACGTCTGCTAGTACTGATCAACCCAATCAGTGGACAGGGGAAGGCAGTGCAAGATTTCCAGGAGCATGTCCAGCCTCTGTTTGAGCTAGCCGAGATCACCTTCAATGCAATCGTAACAGGTGGGGAACAGCACTCCTACATCTGTTTTTTCTTACAGTATATATCTTCCAAACATCAACAATCATACAGTAGCAGTAGAACAAAGCATGTTGTGTTGTCTTATGTGTGCAGAGAGGCAGAACCATGCCAGGGAGTTGATGAAGGAATACGACTTGTCCACTGTGGACGGTATTGTGATTGCGTCTGGAGACGGTCTCCTCTACGAGGTACAATATACTGTATGTTCCCGTCCAGATCCAGACCCCTATGATTATACCAGGTGGTGAATGGTATGATGGAGAGAGAGGACTGGGAACAGGCTCTCAAGACACCCATTGGGATGCTGCCCACCGGCTCAGGGAATGCTCTCTGTGCCTCTACACTCTACGAGGCAGGGTAAGATTAGTCTTTTTATGATGGATAAGTGTGCATGTATGATCAATTATCTAGGTTAGTCGTATTCTTTGTTTTTCGTTTGGCTGTATTGTTTTGGATATTTGTTTGGCTGATTGTTTTTGTTTTGGATTTTCGGTTGGCTTGTTATGGATTGCTGTTTAGGTTTGCTTTTGCTTTTGTGTGTTGGTCTTGTTTCATTATTATGCAGTGGGAAAATGTATTTCAATGATCCTTCTTCCCCTTGCACATCCTTCCTCGCAGTGAAGAGTTCAGTCTGGTGAACGCTGCCTTCCAGATAATCCAGGGAGGGGTCATCCCAATGGACATCACCACTGTGGAGACTGCCGACAAGCAGACCCTCTACATGACCATTCTCAGCGGCTGGGGACTCATTTCCGACATTGACATTGAGTCTGAGAGCCTGAGAAAGATCGGGGAAACCCGTTTTCTGCTCGGTAAGAATCCAAAGACTCATATTTTGTAAGGGTTTTCTTGTTGAAGGGTAAGGTTAGTGTCCTAAGGCCAAATGTGCCTTTTTTCTGAGCGTCTGGTCCCTGGAATCATAGTGTTGCTAAAAGACCTTCCTGGACCTCATGTTTTTCCCTGATGTATTTATCATCTTGACTTCAGCTAATCCTATACTTTTAGAAATCATGTTGCTTTGTATAATATAGTAGTGCATTGCAATCATTACCTGCATCATTTCAGGTGCACTCAACTGTATTCGGAGGAAGCGTGTCTACCGTGGGCGACTGGTGTACCTACCCTGGGACGAATCCAAGGCTCCGACGCTCCACTACTCTCGAGAGCGTGTCCCGACGCAAGCAACCCTCTCATCTTCCGTCCCTCCCGGCCCACCTGCACATCTAGTCACCTCTAGTCTTAATCCTCAGCTACTCTCGCGGGGTGGTGGGGAACACTGCTCAGCGTTGCCCGGAGGGGACACGATTGATGAGGCCCCTAACGAGGAGGGTCCTTCCCCACTGCAGCTTTCGAGCGAGGAGAGCGAGAAAGAGAAAAGCGACGTTTTCGGGGACACTAAAGACGTCGTTCTTGAAGAGTCGAGTATTCGTTCGCTAACGGGAGGGGCAGAGGGAAGATGGGGGATGACGCGACCGTAGAGGAGAAAAAAACCGACAGATAGAAGACGTGACAAAGGACTGGGAGTTCGTGGCACGAGAGGAGAAACCGGCAGTTAAAATAGCAGCTGCAGAGCCCATTCAAATCACTTCCACCTCGCCGGTGGCTGGAGACCAGGTGCAAACGCCAGCATCTCTCCGTAGCTACGCCAGCTGCTGGACCCTGCCCAGATCTCCTCCCCGGATCACGGAGGACGTCCCTGAACAATTGGAAAACGATCGAGGGGGATTTCTGACCGTCTCGCCGCTAATATAACCGCACTTGAGCTCCAATCTCTCGGGGATCACACAGGATGTCTATTGGACCGGGAAGAATCCGGATCATGTACGTGAGGCGGATGTCTCGACTGGACATCTCAGCATGCTGACAAAGGCAGAGAAAGAGGAACTCACCTGGAAGGCAGAAGCGAGATAATCGACGTGAAGGCGTTTCGGTGAGCCGCAGACAGAGGGCGGTATATGACTGTGGACGGAGAGGTTGTAAAAGTATGGACCGATGCAGGCAAAGTCCACCAGACCTGGCTCGGGTGTTCTGCTGCAAGGGAGTATAGACCTCGTGCCTTATTGTACGATTTACCAACATCTGTTTACATGAGTCTATGCGCAGTGCAGTCTCAGTCTCCAATCGTGCGCATGATCTGATTTATGTGCTGTGTATGAGTTGGTTTTGGTCAACACCCAAGTCAAACAGAAAATCCTGCAGCTAGCTGCAAAATAAGCCCAAGAGAGCTCTGCCACAAGAAGCGAGGTGGGTCATCACCAACAGTGAGAAGAGAATGCAACTTTGTGCAGGGAAACTATCTAAGGATTTCTTCTGTCCAGTAACCTGGAAGCTGCCGAACCCAATCCTAGTGTTCAGCTTTCCTGTTTTTCATCGTAGCTTTATTACTTAGCCACTGTAGGGGGATGCTAACACATATAATATAGTCAATGAAGTGGTGTTGTACATTGTGTGTGAATTGACACTCTCAGGTCATTCACTGGTTCTCGAACATGCACTTCATACCATACATACTGGTGGTGATGATACGTGTGACTGAACTGTGTTATTCTCCTTACTCTCTCTTTTGATGTGTCTTAGGGTCTGGGGCAGTGTTTGGCAGTTGAGATATAAACATACAGTGGGTTCTTGAGAACACTGAACTGTTACTTTGTGCCCGCCAGCAAGCAAGCATGAAAGAATACTTATAACAATTCTTGAACTTCACGAAAGTTTTCGTGACAGTTGTCAACATATTCAATGGTAGTCACCACCACTGCGGGCCCCATGCAAAGAGAAAAAGAAGTACCTTACTGTACGTAACTTACCAGTTGAAAGCCAATCATAGTCCAACTGCAAGAACTATTAGAGCAGTATATGAAGGTCCAGACCGACCAGCAGAGTCAGTCCGACTAGTGTGAGCAGCGGAGGACAAAGGCCAGGTTGATGAAGATGAGAACTGACTGGTTCACGCCAGGTTCGAATGCATTGAGGCTTATGTCCTGTACAATCCCCTCCCGGTTGAAGGGACAGGCGGAGAAGGTGCGCTTCTTCACCTGGTGTTTGAGAGGTGGCGATGGTGGCAGACACTCATTCTTCTCTGCTGCTCTCTCTTCTTATGATAATATGATGACGTTGGGGCGGGTCACGCGCATGCGCGATGCCTTCTGTACTGACGTCATGGTCACGTCCGCGGTTAAAAATAAAAAGTGAGCGACGAGAAGGAGAAGAAGCACGGGTTTTTTCGCGAAGGACCGCTCGTCCTTCTTCGAGCCAGAGACCAGTAGTACCCGAAACAAAACACAGCTCATGTGCAAACGACGCTGCACAAGTAAACTACCGAGAGACGGGCCGCAGCGAGAGGGAAAATGGCCGCGGACCAGTCGGCCGCACTTTCCCGTGTCGGCCAGTCTGACGAGAACGTGAGTCGACGAGAAGCAGCTGTCAGGAAATTTTCTAAGTTCGGAATCGTGTCCAGCGTCAAGATCCAGCAGCAGACGCGCCACTGCAAGTCAAAGCTTCGGCATGGGCCAATTTCACGCGAGGGAGGCCCTCTCGCCTGCGGAGCCTCTCGGCTGCGAACTTGGGCGGGGGTTGCCTTCCACGGGAGTCATATCAACCGGACTCGCGCCGGCATAGTTGAGAAGAAAGAGTGAAAAGGGCTATTCTCTCCACCAAGGCTGACTTCAGACCTATCACCGATCTGCTCCGTCTTGTGCAGGGAACGCCGCAAGAAAGGAGCCACGTGTTAGCTACCTTTCTTGAACTTCCTTACTCCTTTGCATATCTCCTCCAAACTTTTGACCTGTTCCCATTGAATTCCTTATATTGGTTCATCACCCTTCTCTGTTCTTTTTGGCCATCGCCTTATTTTTTTCTTCCCTCCCTCTCCATCTCTCCTCATATTTTTCTCGCTCCCTCTCTCTTCCTGGTATGGATATAGTGCGGTAAGTACCGCCACTCGGAGCTGCGCATCACAGACGGAGGATGGTCTTGTGCACGCAGATGGAGGCGAGAAGTGAGGTGGTATGGAACAAGAACGGCCCACTCAGGCACCAGCAGGATGAGAAGAGCACAGCCGTAGTCGTAAGTCTCTTTACTATATACACTGCTGTCAGGATGACACATTGTGGGACCCCTGGACTGTTTCGTTGCTCGTAGAGAAGTTCAGTGGGGTGTGTCTCTTAGCAGTGGGTGTGAATGCAGTGTAGTTTTGCTACTGTTAGGTTCTCACAGGCAAGTGCAAGAAAAGTGAGCACACTGTACACAGTGGGTCATCGTGCACTCATTTCAGGAGAGCTATGTATATAGTAACCCACTAGAACCCTCTAATTGTCTTTTGCTCAGTTGACTTTCCCATAACGAAGGCCCTCCTTATGAGGTACTGAGGGTTGTACATGGCAGTGTACTAATGGTTGTATATGACAGGCCCGTCCACTAATGTTTGGCAACTGGCATATCCCCATGTCCTATTATATACAATGCACTTTGTGTGTGGGGAAGTCCATATTATGCAGTGGCCTTCTGGTCTCCTCCTCAAACTTCTCTCTCAGACCATATTTGCCCCGTGAGAATTTTTCCCCAGTATGTGGTTACCTGTTTGTACTGTAGTAATTATACGTGTGTGTCCTTGCAGCTGGGTCTCCTCCACCAGAACTGGCAGGAACGCCGTAGCTGGTGTCGGGTGTGCGGTGGTTAAATGTGGGGAACCCCTCTGCCTCCCTCCTCTCTCCCCATCTCTCACACCCTGCCGGCATGTACACCTCACTGCGATTTTTGCCGTCGATACGCCTGCCACGCTGGCGATGCCGCTACTATGTACTGGGGTGAGGATCACATGACACACAACTTTATGGACCTGCTGACTGTGCATGAACTGATTGAGCAACTGAATGATAATAGGATAATGAAAGATGGTGTGGGTACTGTGCCAAGCTACTGTGTGTAGTTTAACCTCTCGGCGCGCATGCTGCTGAAGCGCTGAGCGCACTACAGAATGCGACGTGCGGGAGGATCCCCTTGTTTAAATAAGATGAGCGATACAACGGCTTCATACTACCCGAAACAAACAAACTGAAAAAGTATTAAGGAGGCGCTTTTCCTGAACGACTGCGTTCGAGCAGTAGCTGCCAGCGAAAAAACAAGCGAATAGCCAATATGCATATTAGCACTGGGCTTACACGCGACCTGATCCGCTCGCTCCTGTACCTTGGGGGCTTCAGAAGTCACAACGAATGGCGTGTATCGACTCCCGCATGCTATCTACTAGTGTAGCTAGCCAGTGTGTCAACTCTCCGCGAGCTATATACTAGCGGGAGACCACGGAGTAGTAAACGCCCAGCCCATCAATTAGCAGTATCGCGCGCATGCACAGTTCGCCGCGGGTTTGCACTTCATTACGTTGATGGACTGATATGCACGTTCGATTTTGCGTTCAGTTTTAGCACCGTTCAATCCACATACGCTACGTCTTGTTATGAATTCAGCATGTGTGTGTGTGCAGCTTTGGTGTGTTTAGTACATGTGTGCATATGTGACACTATTGTTTACCCATGCATTCCTCCCTGGTTGTGTTCACAGCCCCACAGATTGTAGAAGGCTGTAGTGCTGTGACCCCACAGAGAAAGACTTCAACCTTATATACTTTCCACTCCCACTCCGTATCCTACCTCTCTCGCAGATCACCTACTCGCGCCTCTCCCTCCTCCTCTGAACCTCTCTCCTCTCCCATCTCTCCTCTCCCTCTCTCAGCTCTCCTCCCCTCTCTCCTCTCCCTCTCTCCCCTCTCTCCAGTGTACATAGTCTGCTCGTCGCATGCTGAGCTGCGAGAGCACAAGAAGATGTGTCCTCGCACTCACAGAGATTCAACCTACACCCAATCCGTCTCTATATCTGACGTGGAGGTTCTCACAGATACAGCGGTCGCTCACTCCGAGGACAAAGAAGGAAGAACAAGATGAAGATAGACCCACAAAGGCTTTCCATGTCCCTAACAACGAGGTGGTAATAATAAGCTCGCTAAGGCAGGGAGCAAGAAAGAAGTGTGGTGGGTGGTGGGGGAAAGGGAGAGGAAGGCCGCGTGAAGAAGAGACAGAGACGCAAGAAAGGGGGTGTACCTGCTGCGAAAAGTACCGGAAATCTCGGACAGACGGCTGCGACACAGAAAAAGTCGAGGATGAGGAATGCTTCGTCCGAAGCCGTTAGACTGGGGACCGGTAATACTTCCCCTCACAACGACCCCAACTATCCCTACCATGACTATACGTATGGTGTGGGGGGAGGGGAAATATTGGGTCCCCAGCCGGCGGGGGTCTACTTTGGAGTTGGTGGCAGTGACTCGAGTGATTCATCCGACGATGAGGACGACTTGGAGTACACGCCGGCTGAAATGGCCCAACTTCTTAGTTTGAATGAACTGGACATGCAGCCTGGGAGTAGCGACAGTGAAGAGGAGGAAGAGGAGGGGGAGGAGGTGAGGGAGAACAAGAGGAGGAATCGACGCGGGAAGGGAAACAACTCTTCCCCAGACCCTAACTCTCAAATTGTGTCCTCTGTTCTCTCTCCGTCTCCTCGCCAGGCCCAGTCGCGGCACGCTGCCCACGCCCGTCAGCCCGAGCCGGTCGGCCTCTTCTGGGACATCGAGAACTGCTCCGTGCCCACTAACAAGTCGGCGTTCACCGTGGCGACCAAGATGCGGAGGGTGTTCTTTGAGGGGAAACGGGAGGCGGAGTTCATGGTGGTGTGTGACATCACCAAGGAGAGGAAAGACGTCATCAACGCTTTGAACAAAGCTCAGGTGAAATCAACCGAAAAGTTTTCCAAAATCTTTCTAGAGCAAGAAACCTTTGGGTTTGTATAAACACTGGCATTCCACAGTAAGGGATCTTAAATTTGCTGAAGTGTTTTTGCGCGTCTAGCTATACGTTACGTGTACCATGTAACCTAAACATGTCTACAGCAGGGATAGTGTGCGTATCTCGTAGTATTGACATTCTGAATAGCTCCTGTTTTTGATGTCTGACGGTGGTGTGTGCCCTCTGTGTTAGGGTGTTGTTCAAATGTTAGCAACTTGTTTACTGTGAGAGGCTGAATGAGTGGCTTGTGTGTCTTTAGCAAAAACTCGTTCAGCGTTTATAAACTTTGGCTGTTTTTCACTGCACCATGGCAGCAGGTATTGTTCATGTGTTTTTCACATTCACTTGTACATAACCCCCAATACACTATGACTGTTGTATGCATTGATTTTTCATGTATGTATGTCTGTAGTCTCAAGCATTCCGTGCATGCCTTGTAACACTACACTGTATTCCAATGCGTGTATAGGTGACTCTGGTCCATGTCAATGCGGTGGCGAAGAACGCGGCCGACGACAAGCTCCGCCAGAGTCTGCGGAGGTTTGCCCACACCTACCCGGCCCCCTCCACCGTCGTCCTGGTCTCCAGCGACGTCAACTTCTCCTCTGAGCTGAACGACCTCCGCCACGTGCATAACATGACGATTGTCCTCGTCCACAGCAAGTTCACCTCCGATGCCCTCAAGGTGTTTGCCCAGCAACTGATCAGCTACGAGCAGTTTCTGGAGGACGTGGAGGGACCCAAGGGACCTCAGGTATAATAATATGGCAAATCAGTTCCTTTGTGTGTATACATGTACATTATGCAGTGGTCCTGAGAGGTATGCTATTTACCTTTTTTCAGCATGCACCAAACACGTGTAGGCATATACTAAGTTGCAATGTTCCACGAACTACGACTTTTGCTCAGATTTCTGAGTGTTAATTTTCCCTCACACTCCACTCCACTCTCTTGCTCCCCAGCAATCATCCCTCCCTAACATTCTCATGGTCACAAACCTCCCCAAGCATTTCCCGCCCAAGAAGATCTCGTCTCGCCTCGGGCAGCTCTCGGACAACTGTGGTGGGCGTGTCCTCGGAGTTGACCCCGCCTCCGGGACCGCACGCATCCTCTTCCGCACTCACGACTGGGCCGTCAAGTGAGCTACATACACGTAATATGCCATGTGTTTATATATATGTAGCTGTGTGCATGTTGTAAAAGGTTTGCAAATCTGATCGTTCGAAGTCGTTTTGATCAGTGAAACAAACCTGGTTCCAATTGTATTGACCGTCTTCCAATAATGGTATAGTTGCTACACTCTTACACTGTTTTCGGAGCCACTATACGGTTGGATAATACACACAATGTTTATAATGCTAGCCAACACTAATGAACTGTACATGTTCATTAGTGATATACAGTATAGTCATAGAGCAGATATCTGTAGGGTGCCATAATAATTATGTATGAAGAAAGCTTCTGTTCCAGTGCTTACGCGCTTACATTACTCATGTACTTATGTTGTATGTACGCATGTATGTATGTGAAGCACCGTGCTCTGTTCTCCACCCATCACCAGAGCTGAGAAGAGGATGAGAGGAGAGGATGTGTTTGGCTGCAGGATCAACCTCTGTCTTGACTACTCCCAGAGACCTCCCAACCCTCCTCCCCCTCCTCTCCAGAATCACCACCCTCCCCACATCCACCCTCACCCTCCTCCCCTCTTTCCCCACCCACCGCCCCCTGGCTCTGGTCCACAGGGTTTCCACCAGATCTCCGGACGTCCTCTTGGTCACTCCTTCCCCCCAGCACACCGTCCCTCTCCTCTCTTCCCCCGCTCTCCCCCACTCCCTCGCTTCCCACCACCACAACCTGGATTTGTACCACGACCTCCTCCTCCTCAGAGTTATCCATTGTTGCGCTCACCACTTCGCGGCCCCCCGCCACAATTTTCTGGACCCCCTCCCCCCAACGTCCCCCTGCCCCCCAGTATCCAGTTGCCCCGCAGGCCACCCCCCGATCCCGCTTCTTATTCCAAGATGGCTGCCACCCCAGCACCTCGTCCCGAGGGTAAGATCCTCATCATTAAGATCCAGGCCTCAAACGAGTCGGACCAGTTTGAAGAACTGGGGAGACAAGTGTTGATGATCTCACTTGAGGCCAACATCAAGGTATGTGTGTATACATTGTTTGTCATGACGTAATCATGTGTACATATACCCATACATACACAATGTATACCTGTGTCAGTGTGTGGCCCTCCATAACGTTTTTAATATTATGTGAAAACAACCAGGAGAAAATTTATGTGTTGCATGTACAGTTAGTGAAAGTTATATGCGTAACAGCTATACTCAATAAAGTGTGACAGTGTGTGTGTGTGTGTGTGTGTGTTGTCACATAAGTGTACAATACTACTGTAGCTGAGCAGCTTGTGCTCTATGTGACCGGTTTCTCTGCTGTTATGTATTCCACCACCACCAGATGGAGCGAGGTCGCTCGCTGGTCATGTGGCACAGTTTCTCAGAGCTCCAGATGCTACTGAGACTGGACTTCCGTGGCACGGCGGTCGTCCGGAAGGAGGACCTGATCAGAACCATGTGGGACAAGGGAGACCTCAAGCCCAACGTTAGTACAATGAGCAAGTACTCCTCGAATAGCTGAAAACACCCAAGGAATAAAGTTTAAGAATTTCACAAGAAAGCATTTGTAGATTCCTTGCCACACAGTATATACCTAAGAGAAATGTAACTATTACCCCCTCTTACATCATATCCTTGCCCATTGTGTATGGTCTGAAGCATGTACATACCGTCCATACATTTGAAAACAGTTCGCATTCTAGTTGCAAATGTGTGCTATTTCACAGAAAAAACATTTGCAGATAGCTGTTCCCACAATGCTTACAAGATTCTGCGGAGTAAACCTTCATGGGCAGCTTAAAGGGAATGTGACAGTATAATATAAGAGCTAAATTTAGAAATGTTACTAAAACCGGAACTGGATTGCATTCCTTCACTGTTCCATTCCATCTTTAGTAACATTTCTAAATTTAGCCCTTTTATACTGCCACATTCCCTTTAAGTTAAATAAAGTCTTTCTCCTCAAAAGTTCCTTATCTACTGTAGTACAGGGCGAAGCAAGTCTATTACATACATGTATATACATATGGACACTCTAGTCTGTTCCATTCAGAATAGTTGTATCATCACTGAGTGTGCTTATTTTTATTTCATTTTCCATATGTGACGTGGGTTGGTCAGGTGGCAGGGAAGTTTGTGGAGCAGTGTGTCAAGTCTCTAGGAGACGTGTGTCGTCGTCAAGGTCTCCCCTGGCTGGCCACCTCGTGTGGCTGGTCCTCAGATGAGGAGGAGGAACGCCGCACCAAGTCAGAGACCACTCCCTCTCTCTCTCGTCTCTCCTTAGTCTTATTTCTCTCCTCTCTCCTCCGCCATACTTCCTGTTATTATTTCTCTCCTCTCTCCTCCGCTATACTTCCTGTTCTTCTTGCCTCTGTCTCTCCTTTCCCTCCTATGTACATGTATTGCCCTTCTTTCTCTTTCCTGCCTCTCTCGTCCCCCCATCTTCTTTTTCTTCTCTTTTTTCATGTATCACTCGCTTCCCATAATATTCATCGTCTCTACCTCCTCTATCTTTCCCGCTATCTCTCTTTCTCTCTCCTCTGCCTGCTTTACAAAAGTGTGTCCTCCTCCAGGTCTCAGGTGATAGCTCTGCTGCGGCAGTTCCCTCATTGTTGGCTCAAGTGGACTCGCTTCAAAACGAAATACAACGAAAGGTTATAAGAGATAATATACAAGTAATTACAACCCCAACCTCTGTGTATATGTATGTATATACTACTTCAATCTATGCCCTTGATGTTCTGTGATGTCTGTCTATCCAGCTACCACAGTGCTCTAAGTGAGATGGCAGTCCATGCATACTGTAAGGGAGCAGTGATGATTCTTGGTAAACCGGACAACAACCAATCTCAGGTATCCTCCCATGTACAATACAACTTATTGCCCAAGCCTTCTAAATTTTTCTGCTTTGGTTAGCACACCTATTCCACCTAGCTTTACGTGCGTACATAACTCGCCTCTCTCCTACGCAATTTTAAAATCAATGCCATTTAAAAAGTACTCCTTTTCTTTCCCCAAGAACAGATTCTTGCTTAACCCCATAAATAGTCAGTAATAAGGACACCATCTTCTGTTCCACTGTTAGAGGAGATTCCACTGTATTAGTGTGGTGATGATGGTTGTTGCAGGTGATAATCCGCTATGAGATGAGTCCTCTGGTGAGGATCTCTGGTCAGAAAAAGGTCTGGACTGCAGTTCAGAAGAAAGTGGTGGACATGGTCTCTACCAGACCCAACGGCAGGATAAAACTACTCGAGTAAGACTACCATTTTCCCAGAGTATGTCACACCTCCCAATCGTGCCTGGCATCTGCAGAAACATAATAATATACATGCTCACAACATTCATGGACTATAGGGAGTAAAATCGTGAAATTGACAAAAAGCTTCTCATTATAATAGTGTATGAGTTGCCACAGTGTTTCTCGTCCTGTCATTTGCACAAGTGCACACATTCATGAGTTAGTACAAACATTTCCCGCTATACGATATTTCTCCCTCCCTTTCCCTCCCTCCTTCCCTCCTTCTCTTTCTCCCTCCCTCCCTCCCTCCCTCCCGGTGCTCAGTGTTGTGAGAGAGTACACGCAGGAGGTGGGTCCCCTGCCACTCAGCTCCAGTGGCAGACCTCTGCAGGACACACTCTCCGAGTGCCCACAGCTACAGTTCATTGGCAGCAGACCCTCGTCCATATTTCTCACTCTCGCCTCGTCTCCCGCTGAACCCAACCCCTCTCCTCCTCCTTTTGCTCCTCCTACTTCCCCTCCTCCTCTGCCTCGTCCGGAGAAGACGGCTCCTCCCCAGAGGACACCTAGTACCACTCTCTCTCACAAGACTGGTACAGGTATATATATTATACACACCACCTACAGCTCTCTCATGAAATGAAACGCATGAAACAGTATCAGCCTCTATATTATGTACAACTCTGTAAGCCTGCTATCAGCCTCTATAACTCTCTAATACAGGTGATCTGGAAAAATTGTCGACTGAGTTTCGACATCTACTGAAAATGCAGACCCCGTCTTGTGAAATTCCACTCAGGTCAGCTCAGCTCAATGGAGGCTTTTCTCAGTGGGTTGACTCCTGTAATAATGTTATGGTGTGAATGATGGGTTTCTCTTACTGTTGGCAACATTTGGCCACAAACGCTCGCTTGCAAGACACTTCTGGCTATGTTTGTGAGGCGTGTTTTTGGGGTTTTATGCAGACATGCAGCATGCACAGCTCCTTTCTTGGAGACTAGCAAGACTCTGACTTATGTGATCCTCGTGTAAATGTGTGTGTTACAATCCATGCAGTCGCGACAGCAGGAAGTAGACGTATTTCAGGACTCTGTATCACCACATCTTCAGAGTGGCAGAGCTATGTCCCGCGGCCTAGTGGAGAGACAGGGAGATGAAGTCATGGTCGAGGCTGCTCGATCGTGGTGGGTTGGGTGAGACCACACAGTACACCTCATCCTCTCTTATCAGACATGCAGCTTAAGAGATGTGTTTGGTGGTGAAAAAATTGCAGCTTACATGCACGATGAGAAAGGTCTATGCATGTGCAAGTGTATGTGTTGGTGAAATTTTCATTCGAGGGCCTACGAAACAAGCTATGTATGTTGCAAGCCAGGTGTTTGCGGATTGTGTTTTGCGATACAGTGGAAAGAAGTCAAACTACCGAACAACAGAACTGAGACAGTTGTATGTATGGAGTCAGACGACAGTCAGCTGCTGCTCTGATGTGAGTATATGTATTGTGACTGATTGTATGGGCTGATTTTTGGCTGGTTGGTGGCGGGGAGCGTTGGTGGTGTAATCGGTTAGATTGGTTTGCCTTCCAAGCAATAGATCCGGGTTCGACTCCGGCAAACGATTTTTTTTAATTTTTTCCCCTCTTTTTTCCACAGGCTACAAAGCACCAACACAGCAAGCAGTAAACCAGCACCATCTGGTTAGCATTATTAATTTTTTTTCCTGTATTGAAACGTATCAGTAAAGGCTTTTCTTCTAGACCTGTTGTGACTTGCGAAACTTCTGTCCGCGAGCTACTCGCTGGCTCCGGACTACCAGACACGGCTGTGACAGGTTATGCGAGAGTATGAGAGAAGTATGGCCACAAGATGGGTAATGACGGCCATGCCAAGCTCACTAATCTATGGAGACATTCACTTCACACTCAATGTAAGTGGAGGTAAAGGATATTCTCAACGTTCTTGAATGCACTTGTTTTTTGCACACAATGTGCTCATTACAGATTCCACCTCTCTTTCACAAATTAGCCAGTAAAGCAAGCCCACGTAAAGAGTCACTGTCCATGTTTACTTCGCCATGTGTTGCATTCTTGCAAGTTTTATATAATCTTGTGACTTCCAAACTTTTTTAGTATAACGAAGGTTGAGTCACAGCCCCATCTCTCTCCCCTCTTCTCCCTCTCTTTTTTCTCACAGCTTCAGAAAGAGAAGGGGACCGACGGACCTCGGTACAGCTCCAGCACGCTGGTCCTCACCCACGAAGCTCTTTCTCCTCTCTGCCCGCGGCGGGGGGTCGGGCTCAACCATGGATGGTCCGCCGACTACAGGAGATGTTTGGAAGGACAGGTTGTTCATGGCCATTTTGGTTTTCTCCAACTCATCAGGCTCTGGAGAATGCAATGTCTGACACCAGTACTGTGAGCCGTAGTTGCAGTCTCTGGCATAATACGAGGCTTCATTGAGAAACGAATCTTAGGCCCCTGTGGAAAAACCGTGTGGTTTGGACAAAGGTGGTGTGCAAGCTCTCCACGTGCAGCACGTAATGTTCAAGAGTTGTTTATCGGGGTTATGAGGGTTGTTAACCAGAAATGAATATTGATAAGATCGTGTGGTATAGAGGGTTCAGAGAC